GTGAAAATCAGTGATTAAGAGAGGACAGACAGTTAATTATTTCAAGGGTGGGGTCGATGGAGAGCAGCCCAGTATTGAAGGGTACTGATCAATGACCAGTAGATCAGTTCGTGACACAGTACGGCGCCTGTGAGTAGATAAAGGAAATCTGGGCTTTATGACTCTGTTTGAAAGAGATGCCTTTGAAGGGTTCGAAGCTTGATAGAGCCTGAATTTCCGACTCAAGCGCATGCCCATCCCCTGGCTTTGCCCCTTTGCCGAGTTAGGCTTCACACCTTTGATCCACGACCCTGGTAACGATCCAGCAACTAGTTTGTTCCTCAAATATTCGAGCATGGGGCTAGTTCTTAACCAATGCAGCAGGTCTAAGCCATTCTTCGCTGGCTTCTCAGAATCCTTGGGTTAGGTTGAGAGTTGTGAACAATCGACCTTACCTCGGGTTTTAATGGTAAAGAAAGTGGAGTACTGTAGTTGTTATCATTCTATTCAATGCCTTTTATACTCCTAGAGAACACATATATGGCAAAAACTGCATAATGCCGTTCCGGAATTCGATCCCTGATCATTTGCGCTTTGAAATGCGACACTTGCTACTACACCACCTATGACAGGTTTGGTCTGATACGACCGATTACTTCCTAGTGATTTTGATTTGTGTATGTGATGTGGTACGGGAGGCCAGCCGTACCAAAGCCTGAATTTCTCACCTGAACGTCTGCTCCTGCCTCCCCCTTTGACCAACCCTCAGCTCCCTCATTTTGCAAGTTATAACGAAAACTAGCTATTCAACGGAATTGAAGCCCTGCCTCCCAGTTCCGCTTGTCCAATTGCTGATGTGTACAGCTTTATCTAGCACAGATCGACTTGTGTTTCGTTGACTTCATGTTTGTAGCGACTGAAATCTTCTCGTCCAAACACCCCATCGACGTCTAGAACTCGACCAACCTTAGGAATGACTGATTTGGAAAAATGCACTTTTTTTCACGATTTTTGCCGAAATTTTTCTGTATTTTTCGCCTTTGAAGGATTGTTTCGCATGAACATTCTCGCCCTGTAAACCAACAATAAAGGTACACGAAATTATCCCCAACTGTGCCTTCAAATGCCAGAACGAGCGTAATGGAGTGCACTCAGCATGATGCGACCGTATTCGAACTTTCGGGTTTGAACGAAATCACCCAACAAACTAACCAATTGTCCCACACATCGGTTTCATTCTTGGAAAAGCGAGCACAATCGGGTGATGTCCGTATACACTAGCACGATGCCCCATTCCTTTTTTCCATGTCGGGTGTTCCTCCCCAACCCCACACATCAACTGATAAGCCCACAAATCGGGGAAACAATGGCATGAATGCGTACCCACTGTTGGCACCAGGGGTTTCTCCTCTCAGTGCCCTTTCGCATTCATGTACTTTTAACTTTGTTAGAAACAACGAAAACGAAGTCGGCTGTAACGAATGCCATCAAAAACTAAACCGCGTAATTCACTCTCCGAAAGAATAACACTGTAACTACTGATGAAAGAACAGGGTATAAAGCCCCGTACTGTAGTGCCAGCATCTTCCTACAGTAGCGCTAAAGGTATTCGGCTAAACAGTTTTTCGGCCGTAGCTTTTTTCTCAGTGAAGCAAATCGCATGAAATTTTGATATGTTTAATTGAAGCATATTTCACACTATCCAAAATTATTCGACT